AGTATCTTGAATTATTCCTTGTGTGCTTTGGCTTCTCTGCGCTCCAGTACAATCTTCAGAATTTCTTCTGATAAACATTTTGGTCTTCTCTTCCTCTTCTGTCTTTGTAATGACCGTTTGCACTCTTCCTGGATGATACATTTGATATCCTCCCACAACTCATCTGGTCTTCAGCTCATTAGTGTTCAAGGCCTCAAACCTGTTCCTGAGATGATTCTGAAATTCAGGTGGGATGAAATCAAAATCGTATTATGCATCATATGTATGATAATAATCTGGAACAATGAGTGCATTGCAGGGTCGGATGAGGGAGGGGGAAGAAAAGCTGCAACAATGAAAAAAAATAATAAATGGGGAGGGAGGCAAACTAATGACTCTTAACTCTCAATCCATAAAGTTTGGGAGCAGTTTAACTTTAAAAAGTTGTAATATCAGCTCACCATTTGATTTCCAGAGCAAGCTCTTAGTTTCCATGAAAAATAGGTAAGTACTGCAAAACGATCAAAAAATCCTTTTTGAGATCATACTAACCCAACTGTTTTTTTAAACACAACATAAGCTAGATAATAGGTTAGACCTCAGAACAGGGTACATATCCGGAAGTTTTCTTAGGTTCAATTCCCTGGATGAGGTGAAAAACTACAGAAAACAATTCCATAAATAATAAACCAGTCTCCGCCAGCTTGGAGACTCTAGTGCTTGAAAAAAAAAATATTAACTGGCCCCGCCCACTCCTCCCGTGATTGGAGGCTCATAACACAATCTCACTCATCTCCTCAGCCCCGGATGGAGGCAACTCCCTCCGTGGCCACAATATAGCAACGCCCTCATTGCGTATTTTTATTGAGCTGATTTCTGATTGGTCAACTTGATTGTAGACCTTTCCTACGTGGGACGGTTTCCTACGGTTCTTAAAGCTTGAGCGGCACAAGCGACGGACAGAACGAAGGCAGGATGGCGGATGTACTGGATCTTCATGAGGCGGGAGGCGAGGATTTCGCCATGGATGAGGATGGCGATGGTGAGAATCGTGGAGGAGGCTGCGGGAAAGGCAAAGAGCGAGAGAAGGGCTTCGTTTCTTCCAGCCCCCTTTGGGAGGACTGGGCGCCAGTGGGGTGGGATGAGCCCTGGAGACTGTGAGCAAATAGTTATCACAAACAACTGTTGCATTTGTTACTTCTTTTTCTTTTTGGATTCTAGAGAGCTTACATAAACTGAAGGAAAAAGCAAAGAAACGGAAAGGTCGCGGCTTTGGTGAGTGTAGGGAAAATGTAAACTGTAGACTGATTTAAGAGGGCGGGAGTTTCGAGTTTTGGAGACCCCCTCTCAAAGTTGGGAGGAACGGTGGGAGAAGAGAGGAATTCTCGGTGATCTTTTTGTGTTTGTTTATAGACGAAGGGACCCGGGCGCGAATGTGTGAGGATTTCGACAGTGTGGAGCAGGATGGAGATGAACCCGGACCGCAGCGCTGTAAGTGAAATGGAGACGAAGTGTGGGTTTAGGTAGTTTTTTAACAAGAAGCATCTAGTCGTTTAGATCCTTACTGATGCTGTAGAACACAGTAGAACTACCCACAGGATTTGCGAGGCAATAAATCTTCCGAAATAGATTGTCTCCTCCCCAGCGAAGTGGCCTGTGAGTTAGAATAACTGATTTTTTTTTTCAGTGCAACTTACATGTCCTTCGAGGTCTTTAACTAACAATTTTTATTTATTATTATTCCTTTTCCCCTCAGTTTTTATCTCTGTTAAAGCATAAGCTTGATTTAGTTTTCTAAATTGTTAGCTTTTTATGTGACTGGTCTTCTGTCATCGTTTCCTTCCCCTCCCCCCCAAAACTTGTTGTTGTTATTAAGTGCTTGAGTCATAGATGACTCATAGTGACCCTATGAACAAAAGACCTGAACACTTGTATAACTTTCGTTGTTTCTCCATGTTGGTAAGGTTTCCGGATGCAAGCCATTTCAGAAGTGGATGCCACTTCTGCTTCCAAGCTTGCTTTAATCGGGGAGCTCCACCACTGTCCACAGTGGGTAACCGTTATCGCATTTGGCACATCAGTGTCACAATGTTTAGCATCACAGCAACCATGAGTTTCCTCTGTACAGCAAATGGACAGACCAGTGATGTACCACTTAGAAGAAGAATGTTTGACAAAAACCAAACCAGGCCCTGGGGCCCGAATGGGTTTTTAAATAGGAGGCCAAAATCACATCATCTCACTCCCCTTAGGAAATCAACATTCCACCCTCATGCTCACCAGTCCCAGCAAACAAGCTTCTGTAGAACCTGGCTCAAACTGGATTTCAGCCCCTTTCCAAGCTTAGTGCTCTTTTAGTTTTTTACGCTAGTTTATTTACAAAATTCGAACATTCCTTTTTTTGATTGATATTATAAACTTTGATACATATTTTACAGTATTTCATTAACACTTGATCCTTTTAGTGTGTGAAGGCAGCATAGTTTCTTGACTTTGTTTTTTGACAGGCACTTGGATTCTTTCTAGCTGTAAATAGTGCTGTAATAAGTGGGGGTGTGGATATATCTGATTTTGTTTGTTTAAAATATATATATCTAGTAGGAGTATTGCAAGGGAGCTCTGGTGGCCTAGTGATAAGAAGGTGTGCTTCAATCCTGATGACTCGCAATTCAGATCCATCAGCTGCTCCTTGGGAGGATGGGCAGTCTCCTCCCTTACATTTAACTGCCTCTGAAAATCTGCTGAAGGCTCTGCTGTTAGTAGGTTCCTACTTGACAGCATACAACAGGGGTATTGATGGATCCAATAATATTTCTATTCCTTTTTTTAAAACTTTTGTTGTGATTTTAACAAAAGTTTACAGAAAAGCTGAATTTTCATTCATTCATTGTTGCACATACTCTCTCCTCCAGTTCACTCTTTTAAAAAAATATTCATTCCTTGTATAATTCCGCCTCTCTCCTCCTGCAGTCCAGTTTGCAATGCAAAACTGGACTGTTATCCAGACTGGACTGGTGTCATGCATATGTTCCAATCCTATATTCCTTTTAAACAGTTCTTTCCTTCATCTGTTCCAGTACAATGTTCATAATCTATCACCTCTTTTGCTAGTTTCCCACAATCCCTGTTGTCAGTCCTTTTTTATAATCGTGATACAATATTTGTCCTTTTGTGATTGAGATATTTCGTTAACATAATGTCCCCCAGGTCACCCATGTTATGTAATGTTTTATGAGTTCCTTGTTTTTCAGTGCTGCATTATTCCATACCATAGTTTTTCTATGTGCATTTATCCGTTTGTGTGACAGCTCTGGTTTATTAAGGGTATATTCCTAGTAATGAAATTGCCGGGTCAAATGGTATTTCTATTTCCAACTTTTTGAGAAAGCACCATACCGCCTTCCATAGTAGCTGCACCATTTTATACTACCACCAACAGTAAATAAGGGTGAATAACAGTAAATATAAATTGCTCCACAAACTCACCAGTATTTGTTGTTTACTGCTGTGTCAGACTTTGCAATTGTTGCTGGGGTGAGATAATATAGTTGTTTTAGTTTGCGTCTCTCTAATGGCTAAGGATTTTAAACATTTCCTCATGTGTTCATTTGGCATCTGAATGTCGTCTTTGGTGAAGTGTCGTTTCATATCCTGTTCCCATTTTGTGATTGGATTGTTTACCTTTTTCCTGTTTAGGTTGCTGGAGTATTCTATGAATTTTAGATATGAGTTCCTTATCAGATAGGGACTATATTTTTCGCTAGTCTTTGGGTTTCCTTTTTACCCTGTTGGAGAGGTTTTTTTTTAAAATATGTGTAGGGATTTGATTCCTAGAAGGTCCATTCATCTCTTTTATTATCTCCTGGTTGTAGGTTTTTTCATGGTGCTTGGAAGACTGTTAACATTGTGGGTAAGGGCTAGACAGTCCTTCCAAGTTTTTTCTGATGAAGTTTTTATATTTGGTGTGAGTTGTGGGTTCTTGAGTTTTCAACTGATGGTTTTCAGTTTTGCCTACACCATTTGTTAGACAGGCTGTCATTTCTCCACTTAACTGATTTCATTTCCTTGTCCTAAAGATTGTTTGACCATAAGTAGATGAGCTGATTTCTGGGTTCTCCATTGAGCTATATGTCTGTCATTGTACCAGTATCACGGTGTTTTGAGTACCACAGCTATGTAGAAGAATTTCAGATCAGGGAGTGAGATGCCTCCTACTTGTTTCTCTTTTTCAGGAGTGATTTGCTTATTTGTAGTCTCTTTGCATTCCGGATGAAATTGAAAATTGCCATTTCCAACTCATTGAAGAATGGAATTGGTGTCAGTATTGGGATTGCATTGAATTTGTAGATTGCTTTTGGTGGTTTACTTGGTTCTAATGAAGAGCCAAACTACTTTCCATAGTGGTTCTACTATTCCCCCCCCTCGAGACAGCCGAACACTTTTTGGCTAGCTGACAAATTCTTGAATCACTGCCTCCCTTAAGCAGTTAAATCCAATAAATAAAACCAAGTATAATTAATCAGAGAACCCAAAAGCTCTTATTGTCTCGACTCTGATAGTTCTGATTGTTTTATTATGTGCTCAAAATCTTTTTTACCTCATTTTCTCCATGAACAGCTGTTGAAGGCTGGATTTTGTTCGTCACTGGAGTTCATGAGGAAGCCACTGAAGAAGACATCCACGACAAATTTGCAGAATATGGAGAAATAAAAAATATCCACCTCAACCTGGACAGGCGTACAGGATACCTGAAGGTATGCCGAGTAATGTTTTATTGCCACCCTTTCAGCAGACAGTTAATTTGATGTAGGGTGGCACTTGAAGTTTTTCTTGGGTTTGGTTGGTTTGTTTTTTAAGAATAGATTTTGATTTAAGGAAAAGAATACCTCGTGATGCTTGGTGACAGGAGGGTTTTAACATCCATTTTTTGCCATCCTGTAGGGATATGCTCTGGTTGAGTATGAAACATTCAAGGAGGCCCAGACTGCCATGGAGGGACTCAATGGCCAGGATTTGATGGAACAGCCCATCAGTGTTGACTGGTGTTTTGTTCGTGGACCTCCCAAGAGCAGGAGGAGGTAAGGTGGAGAGGAGAGTGATTCTGTTGTCTTGGTAAAGGGATTGTGAGCAGGAAAGGGTAGGGGCTTTGTATGATACCTCTCTGATGGTCTTCCCTCCTTTTCCTCAGAGGTGGCCGAAAACACAGCAGGAGTCCAGACCGGAGTCCAGGCCGGAGGCCAGGCCGGAGGCGGCGCTGACTGGTCATCTGTCATACAGATGTTCATCAAAGAGATTTGACCATGTGGCCTTGGAGATTTGGGCTGGGTTAGAACTCATTATGTTTATGTTTAATCTCTTACCTGTTTCATGTTTAAGTTGTGAATAAATGTTTCCTACACTAATTTTAGAAGCCCTTATTGTTTACAGAAAGGCAGTATTTTGGTTGGAAGCAACAATAAGATGAAATTGGCAAACCAGATCAACTGTTGTTGATTCCAGCTCATAGGAACCCTAGAACACAGGCTGTGTATCTCTGTAGAGAATAATGGCACATCTTTCTCCCTGAGTTTAGCAGCTGAATGCTTTTATCACAGCACCTCCCAGGACTCTTTGCAAACTATTGCTACCAACTGAAAGAGTATACAAGACAACCTTTATTACCAGACAGCTACTTCTCTATCCTAAGCTGGGCTAGAACTTGTACTTATACTTAATTTCTTATTATTTTCCTCCTTATGTGTGAGTTGTAAATAAATGGCCCCTTCATGAGATACATTTAAGGTTGAATGGAAACTTTTTTTTTTTAGAATTGAAACTTCTAAAGCACAATTTATGTTATGGCAGCTGCTTCTCTAGACTGGAGTTCCCTGTAAAATGTTGTATTACATGTAAACTCAGGTATCAGCCAGAGTAAGATTATATGGATACTTGCTGCTCAGAATTTTTTTTCTTAGAAACTAGATCAGCAGTAGCAATGAGATAATAGTACTAGAGAATAATTATTAGAAAGTCTCCTTACTTTCTCTTTGATCTCGTATTTGTGTGTACTTGTAGCTGTCTAAGGGACATTCTGCCAGGTGCTCCCTATCTGGTAAAGTCTATGCCTAGTTCTGGAGGCTTCTTGGAATAGAGGAGCATTGAGGACACCAAAGAGGAAAAAGTGTGGCTGAGACTGGCAGGGACTTCAGTTAGTTAACGTGGTGGAGGGAAACCGCTACTACAAATCCAGTAGGTGCTGATGTTTGCAAGCTAAGGATAAGGTCAGTTAGCCAGGCAGGGCCTATCAGGTACATACTGGTGATTGTCTAGGACTGATAGAGTGCAAATGTATCATCAGGGGTTGGAAATGTAGAAAATAATGGGCCACTCAGCTTCTGAAAATACAGATCACCTTTGGCAATACTATGATAGAGACTGGGCCACCTCAGTAGATAGTATGGAACAGAGGACTATGAAAAAAATGGTACCCTCTTTACTGTCTACTGTCGTGTAGTCCTTTTTCTCATCCTTCTCTTGGGACCTAATACTGTGTTGTATAAAGAATTTCTATGAATCAGAGTCAAACTCTATGTCGCTCCTAATCACATGTAACATAAAAACCTTTCTCTCAAATAGCTTAATGATATTTTGGAACTTTAGATGACAGAATAAGTAATTTCTAGCTGTCCTCAGTAGTTCATCATAGCACTACGGGGTGGTGTTATATCAAGTACATGAGGAATATTGAGATAACAGATAGGATTTAAGCTAAAGAATGTACCTCCTTTAACAGAGGGCTCAAATAAAAATCACCTTCCCCTTTTGTTAAAGACGACAGTATTTCTTATTTTAACAGCCTAAAGGGATTATATGTTAATAAGCAGAACTTGTTCCCTTATTGGTTCTTCTCAGGTTTCTGAGATTATAAATTTTAATGCAAGGAGCCCACCCATCTTTTTCCTTTTGTGCAACTGGTGATTTCAGTTGCTGACCTTAAGGTTCACAGCCCATCGTGTAACTCACTATGCCCCAGAGCGCCTCCTTGGCACAAGCCAAGTTGAAGAAAGTCTCCAGAAGAGTGCTGTTGGCATTGATGCTGCAAAAGTTGGTAGCAAAAGTCAGTTTTATTTTCAGATACCTTAACAGAATGATGCCTAAAATTAAAAAGTAATATTAAGATAATTGATACTTACTAAATTTAAGTCAGAATCTTAAGTTAAGCATGTTGCTGTGTACCATTGAGTCGGAACCTACCCTTGGCTGTCCCTCTGATGGGTTTTCAGAGGCAGTTAATCACAGGAAGAGATTGCCCATCCTTCTCCCATGGAGCAGATGGTGGGATTCAAACTGCATGCCTTTGAGATTGCAGTGCAGCTTCTTGCCACTAGGCCACCAGAGCTCCCTAAGTTACAGATAGTTAATCATTAATTCCAGGAAGGTAGGGAGACATTTTTAGTCATGAGCATTAGCATTCACTCTTGGTGTTCTGATTTCTAGGAACTGAGGAAAAGATAATATTAGGAAAGGGAATGATCTTTCATTATTAAAGGAAAATAATGTTAAAGTAGGACTATTTCAAGCAACTGTACGTACTGTCTATTTTTGTTCTTTTTTTTTTTTTCTATTTTTGTTCTTTTTTATATACGTACTGTCACTGACCAATGTGCCCTGTACTTTCCAGGTACTGTCTTCCCTCATCACGAATTTGAGCTGGGATATTTTTGAGATTTGCCTGCTGATATAACAGAAGTCTTCAGATTGTAGCCAGCAGCTGAAAGGTTCTGGAGAAGGAGTCTCAGAAAAAATTGAAATTAGAGTTTCTGAGGGATCAAGAACTCCAAGCCTTCCCCAGCTGGCTTTGAAGTTCACCTGGGAGTCCTTTGGCTTTAGGTCTGTCAAGGTCATCCTCCATATCTTCTGGATGTCATAAAAATGGTTGTAATCCCTTCATTTTACTGGGCAAATAGACCCCGGAATTATGGTGCTTTGTGACCTTATATCTTCTATTCCCACTCTAACCTGCCCCTGGCTGTGCCTCAAACCCTGATATTCTGGTGCAAGATACAGAGGGAACCCCAGGGAAATACTATCCTGGTTCTGACTCCTTGGTTGAAGTTCATATTTGAAGATTTGAACGTGATGAGGGAATAAGAGAAATGATGACTTCAAGCCAGGAGAATAATTCTATTACCCAAATTGGTTTTGTCACTATGCCTCTTGCTTTGCTTTGCTTTGTTGACCTTAAGGGTTATAGTTTTATTAAAGACTGTACATCTCTCTTAGCTTTCCAGTCTCCTAAGAATGTAATCAGCAGCATGACATTTGGGGGAAAGGAGTGATTGAAAGTTTATAAGATTCTAACTACCTTTTTCTCACAGAGGTAGCTTTTGGTAACTTTCACCCCCTAGTCCACCCCTACCTTTTCCCACCCTTACCTCAACACCCCCTAAGCTCACCCCGCCTTCAGTGCCAAATCATAGTGTATATCCTGGTGGAATCTCTGAATTTTCCTTGGTACTTCCTCTTCTGCCCCCGGTTTGCTCTCTTTTTGCACATAGCGATTTTTTTGCTTCCATTTGGATTTCAGACATTTGTTCCTCAGCTTATTATTATCCCTTTTTTGTCTGCTCAGAATGATGATGTATCTAGCATCTTGCAGTAAATACCAAAAAAAGGCTATGTGTAAAATAACTGTGGCCTGTACTCAAGATAGAGAGCAAACCTTCCAAGTGAACAATTTAAAAGATCAATATGGTGGTGCAACAATGAATGAATAGTAAAAAAATATGAACTGAGGGAAGGGGGGAGAATGTGGAACAATGAGTGAACGAAAATCCAACTTTTCTGTAAACTTCATTAAAATCGCAATTAAAATTTAAAAAATTATTTTTAAAAAATCAATTGGACTTGTCTTCTTTGCACCATTATTGCTACCTTCTGGAGCATCATCTCTCCCCTGGGCACAATGTTAACTCCTAAGAAAAACCTGATTGCACCAATTGTGGAAGAGGAAGCATCAGTTCCAAACATTAAAATCAATGTCGTGGATGTTGGACAAGTTGGTGTGTGGCATATGCTATCAGCATTCTGGGAAAGTCTGTGGCTGGTGAACCTGTACTATGGATGGTTTGGGAGACAAGATGGATCTGCAACATGGATTTAGACACCAAAAATCGTAGCAGTTGTTATCCATGTACATGGCTCACAATTTGCTTTTCTCTTCTTAAATGTGTGAACTTGGGCCCACAAGATGAAAGCTTGACTTAATGTTTGCAATATGAGTCCTTGTTGTTATTAGGTGCCTTCAAGTTGAGTACAACTCATAGCAACCCTATGAACAAAGGATTTGAACCCTGTTCTATCTTGCACCATCCTCACACTTCCTGACACACAAGAACCCATTGCAGCAGTTACTGTGTCAGTCTTCCTGGTTGAGAGTCTTCCTCTCCTTCACTGACACTCCACTCTTCAAAGCATAACATCCTCCAAGGAATAGCCTCTCCTAGCAATATGCCAAAAATATGTGAGGCAAAGCCTCATCATGCTTGCCTCCAAAGAACACTCGCTGCACCCTTACTAAGACATCTGTTCTCTTGGCCTTCTCTGCTTTGTTCACAATAGCAAAGAGCTGGAAACAACCCAAGTGCCCATCAACAAACGAATGGATAGAGAAGCTGTGGTATATTCCACACAATGGAATAACTACACTGCCATGAAAAACAAGGAACTCAGGAAATAAAATGGGTGACCCTGGAGGACATTATACTGAGTGAAATATCTCAGTCACAAAAGGATAAATACTGCACAGTGCCACTGTTGTAAAGCAGGACTTACACTGGGGTTGGGGGGAAACTAAGACTGCATTGAAATAGATGAGGGAGAGAAATGTTTAGGAGGAATATATCATCAGGTATTATTGTCATGA